AATCAGGTCCTGGCACACACGCGACCCTAAACCCTAAACCCCTAAATCCTAAACCCTAAACCCCTAAACCCTAAACCCTAAAACCCTAAACCCTAAACCCCTAAACCCTAAACCCTCACACCTCTGAGATGTGCCCAGGTGGTTCGAGGTGGGCGAAGACTGGGAGTGCAACCCAGAGCCGGGTTCTTAGGGTCTTCGGGCTTAGGGTTGTCGGGCTTAGGGCGTTAGAGTTTAGGGCGTTAGGGTTTAGGGTTTAGGGTTTAGGACGGGCTTAGGGCTTAGAGTTTAGGGCGTTAGGGTTTAGGGTTTAGGGTTTGCTTGGGGTTTAGGGCTGGGGTTAAGGGTTTCAGGGTTTAGATTCGAAATTTAGGCTCCAGGGCTTAATGGGGGTTCAGGAAGAGGATTTAGGCTTTAGCGTCAGCTTGGGTTAAGGTTGCGGATGCTTGCATTAGGTTTTTGGCAATGTTTAAGGTTTAGGGTTTAGGGTTTAGGGGTTGGTTGGGTTTGAGGTACATGGTTCCAGGGTTTAGGGTTCGGCTCGAGTTACGGTTGCGATTTAGGCTTTGGGGTGTGGCTGGGTTTAAGGTTGAGGGTCTCGATTTGAAGGGTTCAGATAGGGTTAAGGTGCAGGATTTATGGTTTCGGCTTTCGTTGGGTCTGGCGTTTGGGGTTTGGTTGGGTTTAAGGTAAGGATTCAGGCTGAGTGAGGGTCTCTGTAAAAGGCTTGCGTAACCGACGCTAGTTGAGCATGCCTCAGCAGGGTTTGAAAGAATAGGATGTGAACAAAGGTGAGCATGAATATGGTATTTGTTAAAGTCATAAGCCGTGTTAGCATGCACGCAACAGTGCAAAGTGAGCCCAAATAAAAACTGCAAGAGAGCGTCATACCAGTAGCAGGGATAATGCAGACTGAGGAACTTGATATAGAAGACAGGCTCGTAGGGTTCGCATAATTAGTCTTCCACTCAACTCTAAAGCTTTGGGCACGAATCCCTTGCAGGTTTGGGGTTCAGGGTCCATGTGGCCGCCAAACCAATATTAGTCCATGATCCCACGACCTAGTACAGGCCTGGTCTAATCACCGATAAGCTTAGCTGAAAGTCCATTTGCAACTATACTATACTAGACGCCAAAAAACGATGTTATTGATTCGGGCCCCTATATCACACAGCCCTTCCAGTAACCCTTAAAGAACCGTCAAGGACACCCATTCTAGCAATTTGGGCCCCTACATCGCACCTTCAACATTGCAGAGCCCCAGGCTGTCCGACCAGTACCTTGAGCAGTTGGCCAGCTGGGCAACTTGTCCGGCGTGTGGAGAAGGATCCCCAACCCTAAACCGTACTGTTAAGGTTGAAAGCAGCTTACCATGTGGCTTGCTCTCTGGTTTAAGGTCCTTTTCAAGGTCCCTCCCCAAATGGTACAGGGACCCTATAAAGGGACCCTAATTTAGAGAACTACCCACGTCGTTTTAGGCTTTTGGCTGCTTGCCCGGACCTTCCAAAGTTCCTGAATTGCGGGATCGACCTAAAAGTGTAGTAGGGATGGGTGCCTTCATGGGCGACTGTGGGTGTCGGTTTCGTGTTCAGGGCGGTGTTAAAGGAGTGTAAGATTTACCTGTAGCCGAAAAGACCTACCTTTAGGTGGAAGTACGGAAATATCATACTCACGTGCTTAGGATCCAAGGCATTAGGGTTTTAGGCTTTGCCGTTCAGTGCCAAACCTACAAGCTTCACCATACATTGGGGTTCCTTAGCATGGTTTCTATATATATATATATATATACATGTGTGTGTGTATATATATGTATGTATATAAACGTATGTTCTTAAAATGGAAGGTCTTTTGGGCCACAGGCAGGGTTTAGTTAGGGTTTAGGGATCAGGGTTTAAAAGTTTAGCATTTATGATTTAGGGTGTGAGGTTGAGAGTAGGCTTTGCACCTTCGGCATTCTAGTTAGTCAGTAGCATATTGGATGACATCGGGGTTTTAGGTGACTGCCTAAATGGATATCCCTGTGTATGTGTGTGTGTGTGTGCGTGTATGTGTGTGTGTGTGCGTATGTAAATATAAGTATATATTCATGTATTTATTGAATTATTTATGGTTAGTCGTTTATTTATTTATCAGTTGTTCATTATTTGTTTATTCGTCTAAATTTGGTTAATTGTATGTATACTATATCTCTGTACTTGTGATTTAGATATACGACCTATTCCCCCAACCCTGTTCTAAATTTGTCAGGCCTTTTTCTGAACCCTTGAAAGATTGCTATTCTCATCCTTCAGGCCCTTAGACTAGGTTTTTTCGACTCAGGCCAAGCCCAAAAAAAAAGCCAAACCCTAAACCCTGAACCCTAGACCCTAAGCCCTAAACCCTAAACCCCTAAACCCTAAACCCCTGGCCAAAAAAGCCAAACCCTAAACCCTAAGCCCTAAACCCTAAACCCTAAACCCTAAACCCTAACCCTCCAGCCAAAACAGCCAAACCCTGAACCCAAGGATCTCCTGCAGATCTTCTTGCCTGCGTGACAGCCAAAGTAGCTGCCGAAGCCCAAGACGAGTCGATGTGAAGAGTTGATAGGGAATCGGATTTGGGGTTTAGGGTCTTTAGGGCTTAGGGTTCGCGGTTGTAAGTCGTGGGGTAACCGTGCGCTGAAGCCCGACAGCCTTAAGCCGTGAACCCCGTTTTCCTTTCCTGACGCCCTGGGGAGCCCTGGACGGCCTGGGTCCGAGTACAGGTTCCTGAAAAGGTACTAGCAGGGTTGCATGGCAAGATTTAGGGGATTATACGGTCAACATCAGTGTTCGCTGTTGCATTGCTGAATTCCTGACCGTTGGCATCGCAGCTCATTCATCCTGTATAGCGACATCGCCTCTTGCCGTGTTCTTTCAAATCCATTTGAGCCATGTTTCTTTGCTTGTTCTTGGTGCTGATGGGCATCTGCGGCGCCGTTCGCCAGGCAGGACCTCAAAAGTGAATCCGTAAAACGCCATTCGAAACGCCTGCCCTGGACCCAAGTACGGTATAGTGAGCGTATGTGGGTTAAGTGGGAAAGGTTTTTGATCAGGTGATCAGCAACGATGTTGGGACTATGCAGAAGGGTGCAGCCGGAGGAGGTTATGTTTGCGAATGCTGGACCGGTGGAATCAGTAAGAAGTACTGGTCACGTGCAACAGAGAGCTATCGCGACTGCCAGACGTATTGCGACCGGCGGTGCCAGCAGTTTGCCGAAAATTATGGCTATCGCTATGCATCCGGCTCGTGCAACTACGAATCTGGTGCCTAATGGTTCGTGGCTCGGCCACGAGAGTGTCTCTAGCAGGGGCTTCTGGAACCAGTGGATGCTCAGTTTGTTATTCACCGGTTGCGTCCTATCTTCGTGAGCATTCTTGTTGTGGCACTTGGACCAAATCCTAAGCCCCAAACCTTCATTCTTCAATGTGATCTTCGCACCATGGGTTCGGTCTTTCGGCCCGCCTCCCTGAGTTCTGAGGCATCGGAATCGCAACTTCAGGGGGTGCTATTGACTACACTGGGATCCTGTTATGGTCCCTAATTACATAACTCTACCAGGAATCTAGTATACCTCACAAAAAATCGATTCTGGTTTTTTTAGGCCCTTCCATCCCATTCTTTCACGTGTCTTTGCGCAGCCGAGGCCGACGGCTGGAGTCCCCTTCGATGCTCCTCATTCGACACAGATACCCCCGAGCTTCCAGTCCTTTGCGGTCCTGCTGCCGCAGTGGTTCACCTTTGTTTTAGACACCTGCGGCAGACTCGCGGACGTGCCGAAAAGGAGTCGTCACTTTAGGGCTCAGGGTTTAGGGTTTGGGGTCTGGTGACTTTAGGGTTCAGGGTTTGCGGTTTAGGGCCTTTGGGGTGTAGGGTTTGGAGCTTTGGGCCTTTAGGGTTTAGGGTTTGGGGTCTACAGAGAGCTTGGCAGAAGTATGAGAGATGCGACAAGGTATACCGCCCTTAGCCGCTAAACTTGAAGCCCTCACTGGCGCAGGCTTCGCGGTCGAGGTTGCTTGCACTCTGATGTTCATTGCTGGTTGCACTTCGTGCCAAAATTCTCAGTGTCGCTAAAGCCCCAATCCTTCGACACAACCCTGATCCAAAGCCTTCGAAAGCCATGCCCCCTAAACCCTAAACCCCCAAAGCCCAGCTCGTGGGAACATAAAACCCTGCTCGACCGCATGCCCTAAGCCCTAAACCCTAAGCCCTACAACCCTAAAACCCTAAACCCTAAACCTTCCCGAAACCTGGGCACAGCCTGATTGGCTCGGACTTTGAAATATAACAACTTTTGACATATGTATATATTTTTCCATATTTATATGTATGTGTATATACATACATATGTACACATACACGCCTATTTTTACACACATACACGGACTATAGTCATGTAGTCAGGGCCCTAGAGTAAGAGTTCCAGGGCTTCATCCTGGGATCTTGTTCAGGTTCTCCATTCATGATGCAATCGTAGCGGTAGAAAACTGACATCTGATTTCCTGAGACCCTCGGAGCCCTAAACACAAAAACCCCAAACTCAGAAGTCTAAGCGGAAGGGCCCTATATAAACCCCAAACCCCAAACTCAGAAGTCTAAGAGGAAGGCCCTAGGCCCTAGAACCCAAACTCAGAATTCTAAGAGGAAGGCCCTAAGCCCTTGAGGCTGAAAGAGATCTTAATCGAGAACCACGCCTAGCGAGCCCTTTCTTTCGACGATAGCGGTCCCAAAAAAGCGTTGGAACAACAGCGACAACATCTCTCTCTCGCTCTATATATATATATACATATGTATATGTTGTATGTAATTATGTATGTATGTATGTATGTATGCATGCATGTATGTATGTACGTAATTATGTATGTATATACTTCTACATACATCCACATATTTGTACATGTGTATAAACATGTATGTATGTATGTATGTATGTATGTATGTATATACACATACACCCTACTTCAACGCTTTTCAGGCAGGCAAAAGCTGCTTGGCCGGTTTAGGGTTCAGGATTTAGGGGTTTAGGGCTTTTCAGGGTTAGATATATCACCCGCAAACAGTGCTTGTCACGCTATTGAGCGGCAATTTCTTTGAGTTTTTCACCATCAATCGCCCATGAGCTGCAACTTCTTCAGCAAGAAAGCCCTGAAGCAATCAACGTCGGCAGAGTTTATTTTCTCAGGGAAAGTATGCGGGATACGACTACGAGCCTACATGTTGTTTCAGGCGCCTGGCCGCCTGCAATCCCTCCACCAGTGAACCCGGAAGCAGCACCTAAACTGCCAACACCCCAAAATGCCAAACCTCAAACCCGATGCACTACCCTAGACCTTTAAATGCGCCAAATCCTACACCCGAACTCCCGACGTAGTAGCTCATCATCCCGCCTCCTATCGCCCAGGGCCTCGTTTAGCGACTCAGGCCGGTCTGAGAGATTTGGGAGGGGTCCTCAAGCCGAGGGTCCTTACATAGTGATCTATTTCATCAAACCTTACACCCTTCAAATCCCAAACCCGAAACACCCCCAAAACTGATTACTTAGGTCTACAACGGGATCGCTTGTCTTCTGAAGCCGGTCTAGAAGTTGGGATTTCCGAGCTTGGTAAGGCATGGGGGGGTGGGGTGGGGCCTGTAAAGAATCTAAGAAGCAGGTGCAAGAATGGCTTCGGGTTTAGAGTATGTATGCCATCGAAAAGCTTACAAGACTTCTAAGGGTGTCAGCAACAAAGGTATGGTTTCTGGTTTAAGTACCCTAAACCCTAAACCCTAAGTATTGTGGACTTAAGGGTGCAGGGAGTTGTTCACTTCTGACGAAGCGTCACATTTCTCCGCTCGCTGTGGGATGTGATACCCTAAACCCTGCCTGGACCCCGAAGAACCTACCTTTTAAAGACTTATACGAAGAAATCATAAGAAGGAGCCCTAAAAAGGCAAGTTCTTTGGGTGGAGTCCAGGTAAACACTGCACCATGTTCTCGGTATCGCGCTAAGGGCATGAAGCCTCCATTGAAAGGTCCTGGTGCAGCCTCGGGTGACGGGCTCGCGTAGCGTCATCAAAAGGCGGGCTGAAGAATACTTCATCAAATTACTGTGTAGCTGTCGAATGTACATATGAAAGCTGTTTTTGGTGAGGAATACAATAAAGCCAGGTAGATACACAACGAATAGAAGCCCAGAGAGATCAGTCGAGCCGTGTGATTTCGAGTTCAAGATCATGTTCAATCGAGAGTATGGGCTTCTGCTGTGAAAATCTTCTCATATTGGATATCTTAAAGCTGTCCGGTCTGGGTTCCAGGCCTGGGAACCAACCCAGCTTCAGGGACATGAAGATCTACAGAAATTTGTCGGGGACAACTTTGTTAGCCACATGGCTGTCTACATATACGTAGAAAGACTATATGTATATATATATATAGAGGCCTCTACATATATAAAAAAAACACTATTGGTTCGTATTTGAAATTCAATTGTATGCATGGATCTAGGTACATATAAAATATAATAGTAAGAAAATTTACAAATGTATTTAAGCATATTTGAATGAATTGGCAGATTTGATAAAGAGAGAGGTGAACTTAAATAAATACGAAAATGAAAAGAATGGTCGGAAGAAAGATTTTTAGATTTCGCAAAAATCGAATATATTATTGATATATAATATATAAATTCTAATAATATTGATTTATTTTTTTGTATTCCCATTATAATGAAAAAATATTTTTTTATTCTTGATATTTGATATAAGATAGAGATTTCGATTTTTTATATCTATGAATCTCTTGTATTTTAGCTCTCTATTGATTGAATTTATATTTCTTTTATTTTTCTTATCGGAAAAAAATATATATTAATCTCTTTGCGAAATATTTTTGTAAATTTTAAATATGAATATTTGATTTCTTATAAAAAAATTAGAATATTATATATATATATATCTAT